TCTCTCTCTCTCTCTCTCTCTCTCTCTCTCTCTCTCTCTCTCTCTCTCTCTCTCTCTCTCTCTCTCTCTCTCTCTCTCTCTCTCTCTCTCTCTCTGTGCCTTCCTGCGGCCCCCACCCCCGCAAAAAAGAACCACTGTCACCCCCTCCTCAGGATGCCATCAGTTCAGCATTGCCGTCTCCGCTTTCACCTTTCAAGCTGTTTCATTTCTTCGCCTGCAAATTTCCAAAACAGGAAATGCCATCATCATCAACAGTGTGCATCATCATATAGATAAAGCATGGAGCAACAATCACCAACTATGCCCGCTGTGTACTGCGCATAAGCGCACATATCAAGGAAAACGTCAAATGCACACTTGGCAGTTCAGACCACCAGTGCACTCCGCAGCTACTTTGCTCCGATGCGGGCCCTATACAGGCCATGTCCTTTGTAGTCGGTCTGGTTCAGTATTCCCAACTGGCACAGCGAGCGCAGCGCAAAACTTCTTCATTGACTGTTCCCATCACACCTTGATTTCGTCTTTTTTTACATTTCACGTTGAACTGGCCGGGCCCATGTAATTCAAGAGTTATTCTTATCCTTACTTGCGAATTCCGCCAAGGCCATCATTGTGGGGAGGATGCCTAGTACCGACAGGATGGAGGCCTCAGACATCCCTTGGGCGGAAGTACCTGCAGGCTTTGAGCTCAACACCTATCCCTGTCAACGACGCATGTAACTGCTTGAGCTGCAAGCCTTGACGACTTCAAGGTCCAAACATGACCAATTCAAGAGCATCTGCTGCCGACAGACCCCAAGATTTCTATCGGTTAGTGGTTGTTTTCGACAAGGGCCTCCAGCTCATCGCAATTCTCGCAAACCTAACACACAAATGAGCAGGATCCCACGTTCCTCACAGCAGATTGGAAAACTTGCTTTTATAGTGTGCAGGCCCTGCAGAGTGAAAAGCAAAGTCTAGATGCGGACATACAAAAGGAAAGCACAATAACAAGGCGAAGTACGAAATGCCTCTGGTTGAAAAAAACTGACATTGTACGAACTGCCCCTGGTTGAAAAAAACTGACATCGTACGAACTGCCTCTGGTTGAAAAAAACTGACATCGTACGAACTGCCTCTGGTTGAAAA